AAAGGGAACGTTCACTTATTTGGGTAATGGGGAATATTATTATATTATTTGCCGAGGGGGAGTTCGGAGTAATATTATACTATTTGCCGAGGGGGAGTGGGGAGTAATATTATATTATTTGCCAAGGGGGAGTGGGAAGTAAGAGGTGGGTTGTTGACTGATAATTCTCTGATAAATCTACAATTCAAATTATTCGAGCAGAACTAAAAGTTCAACCAAGCATAACTTATTTTTTTAATTAATTTTAAAAATTAATTATTATTCGACATAGATTTCTACTCATTGGGTTGAACAATTGAATTAATTTGTACTTTTTAGTTTATATTGTAGACACTTCTTTGTTGATATATTTAGGCCAGATATGTATCTATCCAACTTTCTAACTCAATACTTAAAATTCATTGATTCATCCATCCAACCTCCATTAGTCCAGTACTACGTCATAAATAAGAAAGGCTTTAGGAAAGTTCTCCCAGCTAGACTACTATCAAACAAACCAATATATCTTCAAGGGACTAAACACGTCATTTTAAAAGACCCTCCATTAAACGTCTGACGTCTGATTGACAATGGTACAATGAGTACAATGAGGAAGATATAAAGTTTTTTTTAGTGTTAAATCATTTCATTTACCTTCATTGTCTCTGTAGCTTAAGTCCGCAAGTCGGACTCTTCCTCTAAGCGTTCTGGGTTGCCCAAGAAGGGGCTTCTTGTTGTCTCATTTCTTATTACTCTTATTACAGAGAAACTACAATCAATATTCAGCTGATAAAATCAGGATAATTTATACATTCTTTAAGAGACGCACGCTTTAAGGGTGCCGTTGTGAATCTAGCATATCATTCTTTATACAGAGAAACACTTGACATTTCGTTTAGGATCCCTTCAAGCAATAAATCAAACAAATTCATTCATAAAATGAATACACAGACTAATACAATTAAACATTCAGTCTTTTTTACAAAATTAATATTTTTAATTTTGTACAAAAAGGCAAGGTATAACGCAGATCAATCTTAACACATTAAATTAGAGTAAATTAAAAACTAAACACAAAAGAGAAAACCTTAAATTGATACTATGGTCAAAGATTTTTGTTTTGTTTATACATTGTGAAAGGCTGGATTTTGGTGGATGCTATATCGTTTGCACTAATGTCCGATTGAACTAACGTACATTTGCACTAAAGTCAGCTGATCAGAAACCGGTTTGTATTACAATTGAACATTAGTGCTAATGAACACAAATCGTGCTTCATAGTGTTCAATTGAAATACAATTTTATTTTCCCGCCAGGAATATTTAGTACAAATGATCATTAGTGCAATTGACCTGGAATACTAAAAATATTTGTTCAAACTAACTATTTTTTTCTGTAATTATTAGTGCAATTGACCTGGAATACTAAAAATATTTGTTCAAACTAACTATTTTTTTCTGTAATTATTGTGCAATTAAACGTTAGTGCAAATATACATTTCCACCAACAATTTGTTCATTTGTACTAATTAGGTTTAATGTGTAAAATTGTGAAATTTTAGATTTCAGTTCGATTACTTCGATTGAACTTTTTTTTGTTCATTTGTACTAATTAGGTCAAATGTGAAAAACGGTGAAATTTTAGATTTTAGTTCGATTGAACATTTTTGTACCCACACTTTTAGCTTTAAAAACATGGGAAAATTCATTGGAGGCGCCTTGCTCTAAATTAGTTGATAACTTGGAAACCCAGCTTCGTAGGGAAAATAAGTTTTCCAATTTCTTATAATTATTCTCGATATTGCCTTCTGTATTGTACTTGGAAAAGATTACCTTTTTTGCTAAACAGTATTCTGGTGAAAAAGAGTGAATGAGTAATAATGTAAATATGATTACTACTGTACTACATTGTAAACATGTGGTCCTAAATACACAAGAAATATGTTTCACTAGAAAATAAATGAGTCATTTTATTTGATCAAGATTTTTTTATGGAAAGAGGGGTTTAAAAGTGTACTTTTTTAAGATTTAGAGACAATTTCCCATATCTGATTTCATATTCTGATTTAATGTATAGAACTGAAGGAAGATATCGTCATTTTTGCATCTTAAAAATTGATGAATTCCTAAATTGTCTCTGTAGCATTTATCCGTAATCTTAAATTGAAAATCCCTATTGAAAAATAATCAATTTTCAGCTAGAATATAAATGTCTCAATCGTCCTCTATCATGCAAAGTCATTAAAGAGATATAAAAATATGGAAATAAGTCCGCTAAAAAATAATTTCATATATTCGGGGTTTAATGGGACAGTAAGCGAACTTTCAAATGACCCCCCATGCAAAGATGACAATGCTCCACTCACAATGGTCCCTTAAAGGGACCGTTCACTTATTTGGGTAATTTCAGGGTAAACTAAACAACCTATTCGCTCTTGATTGGTAATAGTATTACTTTTCAAAGACAACTGTGGCCGGAGAAAAAGCCGATTTTTCGTTCAGAATTCGAGCGGGGACGGTCCCTCTTTATAGACAATATGTATGAAAGTGTGAAAATAGATTAGTCTGTTTACAGAACTAGAATATCAAAAATTGCAGTATTTCCCCCTAAGAAGGGAGGTGATATCATTGTATATGATTATATCTATTATCACAACAATAATATTATTTTTCACAACTGTAAAGTTCACGTATTGCTTTAGTAGTCTTAATATTATGTTAAGTATGAATTTTGATAGGTTTTAACTACTTTCAATTTGAAAAATCCCCCCCAAAAAAACAATAAGTCCAATAGAACCCTATAAAACACACTGGTATGTTTTTTAAAAACTCTGTTTTTTTCCAACCCTGAATTACCAGGTCCTTTCAAGTTTAATTTCTAACAACTTTTTGGAGATCCGGGTTGAACAACCCAAGTACACAGTGATTTGAAACCCCACTTTGTATAAAGGAGCCTAAAGCAATCCCTAAACCTGATGATTTGATTTGATTTGATTCTAAATGTAAATGTTTAGGGCGTTGAATGCACTTTCCGTGTAAGTCGTGATGATTCCTATCCTGAGTTTACTTCCAGCTTCAAAACTCAGGGATCCAAGGTCCAGAAGAATGTAGAGGTAAAAATTAAAATTTAGTTCTATATGTGGCTTAAAAAACTAACTGATCACGTGTAACGTGGCCTGGGGGGGGGGATGATTTTTTAAAGATCTGGGAGGGGAAATGAAAGAATTTACATTTAAAAGGAAGTTGTTTTATTTTTTTTACCAAAAAAAAATGTTTCATTTTTTCCTAAAAATTTTTTTTTCAAAATAAGGGGGAAATGATTTTTAAAGATAAAAAATATATTTTAAGTAGTGACAAGTGAGGGGGGGAAAGGAGGGGGCTGTATCCCCCCCCCCTCACTCCTTCCACTTCTTAATTAAAAATCAAACTCTTCTTATGAACGTTCTAACCTCTTCATATCTTGTATAAAGAAAATGTATAGAATTTAGAGTATGTTTCATAATTTATTTTTCTGTTACGTTTCAGTGCCCATTTAAATTTGATTTAATTTTTTTCTGGTATTTTTACTTGTTGCTCCTCACCCCCCCCCCCCTTGAAACTAAAATTTTATCAACAGTTGACTCATTATACCCAATATCAGCATTAGGACCATGACACGTACGTTTCAGAGAGGTCCTTAAAACATTCCATTTGATTTGAAGATTTTTTGCAGAAATTTGCACAATTATTACTTTAAAATGTAAAATTTTTGGAGACTGAATGGGTGAATTATCTCACATTTCGGATTTTTTCAGTTCAACCCAATAAAAAATTTAAAATGTATAATTTTGATATTTTTTTAGTTTTTACTTTTCATCCCCAAATATATTTTTTAAACTTTCTTTTTTTGTATTATTTTCAAATGTATCCGTATAAAATTTGTGAAAATTGAGCATACATGAATATGAAAAGAAGAATTAGGCAGAAATCAATTGTCCTAAGAGCATTTTCTGGAAAAAAAAGTTTTGCAGCCCTTTCTGGTCGTCGAAATTTTGCAAGTTTAGTCTGTCCCTCTAGAGTGATCAGCTGATTTATACAGACACTTCAGAAGCTGTAAGTAATCATGTTTTAACATAATCCGCGTCTTAGTCTAGTGCGTATAACCAGGGGGGGGGCGTGGAGGCAGCGCCCCACCCTTACAGTGGGAAGGTGTTGTTTCCCAGGTATAAGGTAACAGACGTCGTTAATTTAAGTGACTCTATAAGAAGAAGGACATGCCCAAGATGTAAAATTCGGTGATGGTGATGGACCAAACCTCTGTAGAGTAAAAAAAAGTAGATGTTAGTTCCACATTTATCGAAAATATATTTCGGTCTGGGTCCGATATGAACGATTCACCCTGGACAACTCAAATGATCAATAATGCGCGAGTCAATTTAGCAGCGAACTCAAAAATGAAAAAAAAAACATGTTTATCTAATTCATACTTGATGAGACAACTTGCTTTAACTAGGGCACCGTTGTGAATCGGATATGCCACTGAAGGGTCACTGTAAATTACGTTAACATTTTTTTTTAACAAATTTTAACTGATCCGCAATATGTCTGTATTTGCTGTAAATTTACATTGCTATAAAAGCTATAAAATATTTAACACAGTAAATTTGTTGTGAAACTTTTAAAATTATTATTCGTCACTTTGGTTCATGTCATTTTTGATTATTTTTTTACAAGTCTAATTATGGCATTCATTATGATATAAGGGGTAAATTTTAGCTGTTGCCAAAAATGTTCATTTTCTATGTTACAGGCCAAGAAAGAGAAGAGGAAGGCTAAGCAGCAGAAGAAAATAGCTGCTCAAAAGGCTGCCAGGTAAGCAAGTCAGGGGTGTTTAATTTCTTAAAAAGACATCTCCCCCTCCCCCTGTAGCAAGTGTATATTGGTTACAACTAAACAAACAAAATTTCACAGTATCGTTCTCATTCACAAATGAAGAGTCCTACACAAGATTTGGTTAGCATCAGAATTAATTATTCTGCAAAAGTGACTTTCTTCACTTACAACTTAATGCCATTTTCCGGGCTTTAAAGTCAAAAGTTTTAATTTCCTTTTCTGTTTCTTCATGATCATAAAAAAGATTCTTAAACGATTTAGCCAGAAAAGTTTCAAAACATTCTAGAGGTGAAGAGATACCGGATGCAATTGATCTTCTGCCTCTTGTATCAAACCAACAGATTCCAATAGTCCTACCGAGGTTACAATGTATTTCCGTCCTTCATTAAGGGTGAAAGAACAATGGAGGGTGTTTAGAGTTTTCTAAATTTTGTTGTGGCGTATTAGGAGGCAAACTGTACAGGCTTGATTTACCTCACCGTACACACCTGATATTTAGGACCGGTACGATCCTGTTAACCTTTACTATACTGTACAGTGTACACTGTACACGGCTGATTTCTAGACCCCAATATTTGCATTTTTTAAATATTCTAAAGACTGATGTTTCAACCAGTGGAGAACTTGTTTCAAATGCGAGGAGAAATACTGCTTATAATACACCTACTTTTACCTATTAATCTTTTTATTCTCCCTTAGCTGTATTAACACTACTTAATACAACTGTTATATCTGTGAAGCTGTTTATTCTCCCATAGCTGTCTAAACACTTCTTAATACAACTGTTATATCTGTTTATTCTCTCATAACTGTCTTAACACTACTTAATACAACTGTTATATCTGTAAAGCTTTTATTCTCTCATAGCTGTTATAAAACTACTCAATACAACTGTTATATCTGTGAAGCTGTTTATTCTCTCATAGCTGTTCTAACACTACTTAATACAACTGTTATATCTGTGAAGCTGTTATTCTCCCATAGCTGTCTTAACACTACTTAATACAACTGTTATGTCTGTGAAGCTGTTTATATTCTCTCATATCTGTTATAAAACTACTTAATACAACTGTTATATCTGTGAATCTGTTTTTTCTCTCATATCTGTCTTGAAACTATTTCATACAACTGTAATATCTGTCATTTTTTACAATAAAAACAGTTCCTACTATGCTATAAGAAATTAGAAAATCCTTTTATCATTATCACGGTCTTTTATCTCATTGATTTCATGCAAGCGATGTATTTACATTCGGGGAATTATCTCATTTTAAGAGATACCAATATTTCATCTGAAGCAGAAATATTTTTAGATGATGAATGAAAAGAAGAAATTATTTTAAATTCAAATTAATGTTTTACGACCGATTTGTAAGGCAATCAAAGGAATTTTTCGAAAAAGTTTATCGTCTTAAAAAAATTTAATCCGCGAATTTTTCCTTGAACTTCCATGAATTTGATGTTATTTTACGTAATTGTCCCTTGGAACAGTTAAGTTACTATAATGGTGAAATCAACGGTCGGATATGTGTTGCTAATTAAATTTTACTTAAATTGCTTAAAATTTATGATAATAGAAGGGAAGGTTTAAGTGACGTTCTGTAGTTAGGGTTTTGGAAAAATTTGTAATTTTAGTACGATTTCATCAATCTTCTTGCACTACTTTTGGTCCACTCTACTGTCTTTTTAATTTATGAAATTTAACTCCATTTTTTACCTATGTACACTTACACTACAGGGTCACCCACAAAGAATGAAACTTAAATGACGCCAAAACACTAGAAATTTTAACAATCTAAAAACAGAATGTTTTGTCTTGCATTAGGCTTTTGAATGGTATATTTGATGTTTTGGGAACAAAGAAATACGTTGCAATGAAGAAAAGTTCAAGTGGGTAACCCTGTATAAAATTATGGAATTCATGGATAAAATTAAGATCAATTTTGTTTTATCGAATAAGTATTATTCTCACTTGGCATATCAAGGTTACCATTCTCATTGTTCTTAAAAATTGATTAATTTTTCCTATCCCCCTTTTTGTTGTACAGCACCTTTATTTCTTCTCAGATTTCTTTTCCTGTTACTTAAAACCTTTCTAATATATTTTTATATATTGTAGAGCTGAAGCTGCTGGGGGAGATGCTCCTGCTGCTGATGCTGCTCCTGCTGTGAGTGCCTAGGAAGCTCCTTACTCTGCTTCTGTCGGGGGGCTGCCCTCCCCCTTCATCCAGTCTGATGGAATAATTAAGAGGAGGCCTTCATCACATTTTTTCCCCATTAACATGATTTTTTCCCTTTAACAAGAGTTTTTATCATTTTTCTCCTTGATTTATGAAATTTCTTGTGCCAAGGACGATATTATACAAAGTACTTAGTTAAATGAATTTAGATCTGCGTTCAATTATCAACCTTGTATGTCTTTTACGGACAAAAAGGTACTTTTCTATAAACCTAGTTATGTAAATTATCTAACCATTGAAAACTGAGATTTATAATGAATTAACTTCTCGTGAAAATATCTTTGATATTTTTTTCTTTAGTCCTTTTCCTCCATTCTAGCCCACCAAATGTTTTGCTGAAAATATTTCCCGCCAATGAATGTTGTTGTTTTTTTTTCAGAAAAAAATGCGATAAAAGTTGAAAAACGGAGAATTGTACACTGTAAACTACTGTGCTTACGGGGAATGTTGCTGAAACAGGGAGGGGTGTATATACTTATATATTTATATTTATATATAATGTATTATGTAAATATAAATGAATAAAGATTTTGAAGAAATAATCCCCCCCCCTCCCTACCTTGAGGGGTGGGATGATTTTAGAAGATTTTGGGGCAAAAAACTTTTTGGTATATTTTCCTCGAATTTTCCCCTTATTGACTTCTCCCCCAAAAACACAACAATTTGCCCATGTAATTGTTTTTTTCCACGAATTTAACGATAAACCACTAGTAATTTATCCTGGGCTACAGGATGGGGGGGGGAAGGGAACAACAAAAATATATTATGTTAGCTTGGAAAAGTCGACAAACCTAAAATTGTCAAACTAAGCAAACACATTCCCGTGGTTTACCGAGTTTCCAATTGAGGCAAATCGGTCAAGGGGTTCATGGGTTATGATCGTACTATTGGATAAATCTAGATACCCCTGAAAACAGGATAAATGTTTGAACTGGAAAGTGGAATAGAAGATGAAGATGGAATAGAACTTGTCACCTATACAACTAACTATGTGGATCATGATCTTGACTCCTCAGGAATTAATAACTAAAAATTCCGAGGATTTATTTTTGCTTCATTTTCAGCATGGCTTTGTATTCGGATTAGCCATGAATTCCCAATATTGGGGGGTAGCTTTAGATTAAAGATAAAACTATTTAAAATATGGAAGTTATTTATGAATTTTGAGCAGTGACAACAACAGAATTCCATAACAAAGACTCAGTCGAAGTTTCTGGTGAGGACGTAAGTGAATCTCTCGACCTGTGTCTCGCAGCAGAGGACGGATACACAGAAGATCGACTCAGTTTAGACTCAAATACTGTCGCAGTCGATTGGGACAGAGAAGGGGGAAATATTGTGGTTTTTGACAACAGGTATTGCAACTTATCTATCAAAATTTAAACGTTGTAAACACCCCCCTTCCCCTCATTCTTAGGTTGTCCCAAGCTTAATTTTATTTGACGGGTTTCTGTGCAATTAATAAAGACTTCTAAGTACATTTTTTTACTCTTTTCCCTCATTTGATAATATATAAGCATTTTTTAACATTTCCTTTTGTAATAAAATTGCTGGAAAACCCTATTTTTTTTTATTTCTTGCAAAAATCTTTGGTCGCACTTTATGTTATGTTTACTCGATAATCGCAGAATTTTAAAAATAATTTTAAACCCGATGTTTTTTAGTTCAATGCATCAGCAAGGATACGCCAAAGGGTACACAATGACCCTCAATAACAAGTAAATTATTTGCTATTTTAAAATTTTATTATTATTAATTTTNCTTCGTGTTTTTACCTCTCAAAGAGGGCCAGATTCCCGTTAAACGGGAGTGAACGTTAGCATACAGTGTGAATCCAACACAGTTGACGATACAGATGTACCTCGAAAATGATATTTTATGTCCAAAGCGATTTTCGAAAAAAAAGTCTTTAATAATTACAATAATTATAATATTATTATTATATTTATATTTATATATTATTATAAATATAATTAATAATTGTAGTAGATTTACATCCATGATTAGGCAATGTTTAAAGACTGATACGGACACGCAACTCTTTAAATGGAGGGTCTTTTGAAGTTACGTCTATGGTCTCTTAAGAGTTAAATAAAAATATAGATGTGAAGCTTTTTTGATATATTTAAAAAAGCAGGATCAAGCTTGATCAATCCCTTTCAGGTTGAAAAGTGTATCCAGTTTTACCTCGTATATTGACCTCGAAGCCGAGGACCCTGCTCAGGTAAATATTGACCTTGAGGTTGGTTTTATGTTGACCTTGAGGTCGGGTATATATTGTCCTCAAGGTTGGCTTTATATTAATCATGAGGTCGGGTATATATTGTCCTCAAGGTTGGCTTTATATTAACCATGAGGTCGGGTATATATTGTCCTCAAGGTTGGCTTTATATTAACCATGAGGTCGGGTTTATATTGTCCTCAAGGTTGGCTTTATATTAACCATGAGGTCGGGTATATATTGTCCTCAAGGTTGGCTTTATATTAACCATGAGGTCGAGTTTATATTGTCCTCAAGGTTGGGTTTTTATTAACCATGAGGTCGGGTTTATATTGATCTTGAGGTCGGGTTATATTGACCTTGAGGTTGGGTTTATATTGACCTCGAGGTGGGGTTTACAATGACCTTGAATTCGGGTTTATATTCACCCTGAGGTCGGGTTTATATTGACCTTATTGATCTTGAAGTCGGGTTTATATTAACCTTGAGGTCGGGTTTATAATGACCCTGAGGTTAGGTCATATTCTGCTTGAGGTCGGGTTTATATTGACCCTGAGGNGAGGTTTGGTATATATTGACATTGAGGTTTGGTTTATATTGACATTGAGGTTTGGTTTATATTGACATGGAGGTCGGGTTGTAACTAGATATTTGATAAAAAATTGCTGTTTTCTGCAGGAGGGCATGGATTTTAGTAATGAGCTTCATGAAGGAGAGTTATTCATTTCAAAGGTAAAGAAATAAAAAGTTTCCCTTTCAAATTAATTTTTAAATGATTTAGTGTTTATGTGGCTGTGCCCATCTTTGATTTTAACTTTTTATTGTTGCACTATCTGCAGCATTTTGCTTCTGAAATTATCGAACAATAAGCAAAACAATTTTGCCGATTTATCGTGTTTTTCGTGGATTTTAAAAAGCCGGAAATTAATTTTAAATTCCTCCATTTATAAACCTTGCCGTGGTTCATGAAAGGCCCGCCCCAAAAATTGGTCGGATTGGTTAGCAGTTTTGACGTTAACTGCAAGCACGCAAACAAATACAAATAAACATATATCTATAGATAGATTTGATTTCAGTTTTAATCTGTAAAATGTAAAGTATATTTTATAATCTGTTCAGGCGGACAGAGTTTGCAGCTACAGTACTGTCTCAGGGTACATTTTTTAATAGGGGAGAAACTATGGGGCCATTTTTTATAACAATTCGGAGGTGTATGTTTTGATTCCTTTATTAACTTTCTTAGATAAAATTGAAGGATGGACCTCCTGAATAATCTATAATTCGATATTTACTCAAGGAGTTCAAATTTTTTAATTTTATAAAAGTATATAAGGTATTTAATATTGAGGTTTTTGGAATTTTTCTCTGTAAATGATTTTTGGAGTGAAAAAGAAAAATTGGCCTTACTAACAAATTAGCTATTTCATTTTATTGGTACTCTCGACGTCAAATTATCTTTCCAAATTCAAAGCTAAATCCAGCCCTCCCCCACCCCCTCACATTAATAGATTATGTTTATCTTAAAGCAGGGACAAAAAGAAGTTATTTAAAGAAAGATGTGTGTAGGCGATATCATTTTTCAAGAAAATACGCCTAATTACTTCTTGTAATCTGCCTTATTCATAGAAATACTTTTTGTTGAAAAAATCTAAATTTTTTCGCAGAATTTGTGTAAATAATGAATTTTTAGGTTAAAAGTTTCATAAAGCGGGGAACACTTGCCAGTCGATTAAATTTTTAATTTTTTCCAATCTCAGACAATTATCTTCTCTTTTCCTGGATCCGGATCCACGGATCCCGATCCAAGGGGTAAAATATCAACCATAACTGCAAAAATAACTTTTTTACTCCTAAAACCCAAATCAAAATTAAATGGATCCTAAGCACTGCCTTGAATCCCTATCGGCTTCTCTGATTGGCTGTTCTGGTTTCTCCAACCCCCACTGATTGGTTGAACAATATACAAACCACTTTGTTGATACAAACTGAAATTTAAATTAATCTTGAAATTAAGAAAGAGAAGATCAGGCATTGAAGCCACCTATTTCTTCTTATATCATTTAATTAAAAAATTTCGCATATTTTTCTGTGTTTCTTTGGTGGTTTTCTAACAGCAAGTTTTAACAACAAAATTTTGTATTTAAACTTTCATAAATCCTTCATGGGTTAACTTATGTGAGATATTAAAAGAATTGAACACGATCAGTTTATTAGTTTTGTCTATTATTTCATACTAACAAACCCAACAGACTAGCCAATTTTATAAATAGAATAATCTGATTGGTCCATCTAGCGAACAGGATCCGTATCCGATTGGTTCAACTGTTGACCAATCCAAACTGTAGCAACAGATGAGCTACAGTTTGGATTTCAAGCTAAATCTAGCACATCTATGTGTACTTGGGCGATAAACACTGTAATAGATCATTATAATAGACTAGGCAGGCCTATATTTGCTTGTTCAATGGACCTAAGTAAAGCATTTGACATGGTTTCTTGGGCTAAACTATTTCCTAAACTTTTAAAAAGAAAAATATCACCTTTGATAGTAAGATGCTTAATTCATGTTTACTCATATCAAATGTGTAATGTGAGATGGGGGAACATTATCTTTCAACCTTTTAATGTGAAAAATGGTGTACGCCAGGGTGCAGTTTCCTATATATTTATATAAATGATTTGATTATTTAACTTAGAAATCTGAAAGTTGGTTGTCAACTAAATTGCGTATACCTAGGAATCTGGGTTTATGCGGATGACATTATATTATTATCTCCGAGTCGATCTGGACTACAGTTAATGACTAATGTTTGTGAAAAATTTGCTAGTCTTCATCAGTTAAAATTTAGCACAAATGCAGATGTTTCCAAATCAAAAACAAAATGTATAGTTTTCAGTAACCCTGTCATGAATACTGATAATATTTGCCCGATACTTTTAAATAATTTACCCCTACCCTATGTAACGGAAATTAAACATCTTGGCAACACACTGCAGTCTAATGGTTCTATGACAAAAGATGTTAGCTGTAAACGTGCTAAATTTATTTCTAAAATACATTCTCTTAATCAAGAATTTCTTTATGCTAATACATGTTCAAACACTCCTGAACTCAGGGAACATTGTTATTCTCATTTTATTTGATCTACCAAGAGAAACCCATAGATGTTTCATTGAGCACATTTCTAATGTTCCTCATATTAAAACAGTTTTATGCACTCGTTTTGTACAATTTGTGACCAGTTTATCAATTTGTCATAAGCTATGTATTCGACTTTTAGTAGATCTAAGTAAACATGATTTAAGAACTGTTTTATTTAAAAATCTTGAATCTATTGCACAAGATTGTAATGTACAATCTAGAAATCTAAACAAATTTTGCTTTAAACAAAATATGATATACAATCATATTCCTTTAGACCAAGAATGGAAATTACCCATTCTTCATAAATTACTTAAAGTTAAAGAAGATAATTTTGTTCTAAACAACTTTGATGATAATGAGATCGCAACCATGATCAACTTTTTATGTTCCGAATAGAAACTATATTTATATATTATACTTTATTCTTGTTTTTGTCTTATCATGCTGTACCATTTTACCTTTGTGTACGAAATAAATCTATAATAATAATAATAATAGACGGATTCGATCCAGATCAGACTGGTTGAAAAGTAGAACAAAACCCTCAGAGATTAATACCAACAAGTTGATCGTGAGATTTTTGAAAATGAAAAAATCTAAATTATGTTTATTTTTTGTTCCGGATTGATCTGTTGACCTGTCATACGGTTTAGACATGGATCCGGATCCGGTTTCAGGCTTCAGATTATACGATTCTTTATTTTGTAAATATTATAATTTAGTATCTACGCGGTATATGAGATATCCGGAGATGGAGGGGAGAAAAAGAAAAGATTAACACTCGGCTCAAACGTCACCTCAAAGGAACCATTATTTGTCAATATTATAAATAAATCTAGGAATGTTCAGAAATTACTATTTGTTGGTTAAAATTTACTATTGGTCATTTCAACTTTTTTTACATAAAGGTTCGTTAATAAACTTAAGAAAGAATGGATTGTTCATTTATTATCTGTAAGAACTAAATAATGATGGTTTGAAGGTTGATGGTATATTTATTATCTGTAAGAACTACAGGTTCTACAGGTTCAGTTTCAAGTTTGCTAAGATAGACCAGGGCAGAAATATAGTTAATGCGCTCCTACATCATATAAGGTAATACTTCAAAACTTCTGCGGATTGTAGGGACTAACGTTACAATTTCAAATGACCCAAACCTCAAAGAACATTTTAGATTCAGAAAGGTTTAACTCTGTATCTGATCAATAAAACAAAAGAGATCGTCGTTTTTCTTGCTTAAAGTTCGCAATTCTGCTTATTTCCTTCATTGTTTTATTAGCCATAGATCCACCAGTCACTTTTATATCGAACCCACAATTAAAAATAACCTATATTTTAAAGAGAAATCATGGATATCTCATTAAATCGTGATCAGACAAAGCTTTATTTTTTTATCCAACTAATATGTTTCTAATTTAAAAATTATCAACTTCTTATTTTCTATTGTTACTTTATCAGCCAAATAGTTTCTATTGTTATTTTATCAGCCAATTAGTTTCTATTGTTATTTTATCAGCCAATTTTGTAGTTTCTATTGTTACGTTATCAGCCAATTTTGTAGTTTCTATTGTTACGTTATCAGCCAATTAGTTTCTATTGTTACTTTTTATCAGCCAATTTTGTAGTTTCTATTGTTATTTTATCAGCCAATTTTGTTTTTATGCTGAAAACAACTAATTTTCATTTGTTTTTTAAATTATCAAAAAATGTTCTTTTTTCACTTAATCAGCTTATTTTTTTTTGTATAAATAATCATTCTTTTTTTCAGACCGAAGAAAGCTAATCTTCTTTTTGCATTTGAACAACGCCTGTACACACATTTAGGTAAAATAATAAAAGTTGAAGAAAAATTAATTTAGCTTAATTAAAATAAATTGGTTAACTAATATTTTTTTTTTATTAGATGAGGGCAATAGGAAGATTTCGAGCTGGAAGGAGATAAAAAAGAAATCACAAGCCAAAAATGTCAGGTGAGAGAATATTCACTACTAGCTTTGGAACCTATTGTTGCCCAGGTTACTCATAGTTACTCCCGCCGTTTACCCGCACTTGGTCAATTTTCCCCTAAACTAAATGTTTGCTTTTAAAGTCTATCCACTTAGCTTAGACTCTCAAAACTAAAATAAGAACATTTCAGTGTTTCTCCCGAGTTCCTTAAACAAAATTTGAGGCAAATCTGTGAAGTGGTCTCGAGTTATGATCGGACATACAATCAAACAAACAAACACCAAAACAGAGATTACAACTTGATATATATAGATTTAGGATATTTGATAGGGAAGACGGTGAATAATGTAAGATCGAGCATGCAGGCTTTAACTCCTCATTTTGATACTTTTTACCGACATTTTTTCCACGGATCATTTTCCATCTTTAAGTTCATATTTAACAATGTTCCCGCCCCCCCCCTTGCTTGCTGGATTGGCTGGATTTTTGAGGAAAAGAAAATATTTTGAACGCTAAAAAAAACTGAAAAGACTTGCTCTATCTGTATAATCAGTTGTGTAGATTATCTGTCCTATCTGTATAATCCGTTGTGTAGATTATCTGTCCTATCTGTATAATCTGTTGTTTAGATCATATGTCTTAACTGTAAAATCTGTTCTGTAGATTATCTGTATAAAATGTTGTAGATTATCTGTCCTATAGGCATAACCTGTTGTGTAGATTGATTGTCCTATCTGTATAATAAGTTGTTTAAATCATCTGTTCTGTAGATTATCTGTCCTATCTGTATAAAATGTAGATTATCTGTCCTATAGGCATAACCTGTTGTGTAGATTAATTGTCCTATTTGTATAATAAGTTGTTTAAATCATCTGTTCTGTAGATTATCTGTCCAATCTGTATAAAATGTAGATTATCTGTCCTATAGGCACAACCTGTTATGTAGATTAATTGTCCTATCTGTATAATCAATTGTTTAGATCATCTGTTCTGTAGATTATCTGTCCTATCTGTATAAAATGTAGATTATCTGTCCTATAGGCATAACCTGTTATGTAGATAAATTGCCCTATCTGAATAATCTGTTGTGTAGATTAATTGTCCTATCTGTATAATCTTTTGTGTAGATTATCTGTCCTATCTGTATAATCTGTAGTGTAGATTTTCTATCCTAGTATATAATCTGTTGTGTAGATTATCTGTCCTATCTGTATAAAATTTTATGTATATTATCTGTCCTGTCTGTATAATCTGTTGTCTAGATTATCTGTCCTATCTGTATAATCTGTTATGTAGATTATCTGTCCTGTCTGTATAATCTGTTGTATATCTTACCTGGTTTAACTAATTTTCCCTCTATTCATAAATGAATGTAAAATTTCGGGGTAAAATTTAATTTTTAAATTCTTTTCAGGAACAATGTTTACTTGTCTATTTTCATTTTGTCATTTCAAGAAAAGTTGCTGTTAAAACTATTTATAGAACTATTTGAACTATTAGATTTCTTTATTGCAAGCTCAGTTTCAGGTAGTCTTTCAAGCTTTATCATTAGTGGACATCTCTTTATTCTAAAGAAAGGTGTCCCTTCTTCAATAATTTAAAAATCTGAAATATATTTAGCTCATATAACGGATGAGAAGTTAGGAGGAATGTCTGGTCTGTTTCTTGGTAACCGACCTCCAGTCTGGGTTTGGGGTACTCCTGAGGGTGGAGCTTTATATATACAACCTGTACTTAATGTACTCCCTAGTACACAGGTAATATATTTTGGAGTACTCCGGGTTTATATCTACAACCTGTATTTAATGTATTCCCTAGTACACAGGTAATATATTTTGGAGTACTCCGGGTTTATATCTACAACCTGTACTTAATGTACTCCCTAGTACACAAATAATATATCCTGGAGTATACCAGAGGATGGAGCTTTATATATACAACCTGTACTTAATGTACTCCCTTGTACACAGGTAATATATTTTGGAGTACTCCAGGTTTATATCTCCATCTGTACTTAATTTACTCACTAGTACACAGGTAACATATCCTGGGGTACTCCAGGTTTGTATATACAACCTGTACTTAATGTACTCACATAGTACACAGGTAATATATCCTGGAGTACTCCAGGTTTGTATATACAACCTTTACTTAATGTACTCGCTAGTACACAGGTAATATATCCTGGGGTACTCCAGGTTTGTAGATACAACCTGTACTTAATGTACTCCCTGGTACACAGGTAATATATCCTGGAGTACTCCAGGTTTTATATATACAACCTGTACTTAATGTACTCCCGAGTACACAGGTAATATATCCTGTTTGGAGTACTCCAGGTTTATATCTCCATCTGTACTTAATTTACTCACTAGTACACAGGTAATATATCCTGGAGTACTCCAGGTTTTATATATACAACCTGTACTTAATGTACTCCCGAGTACACAGGTAATATATCCTGGAGTACTCCTGAGAGTGCAGCTTTGTCTGGGCAACTACAAATTAGATATCGATACGTTTATAGTTTTGAAAACTTATTATTTTTAATTGTTGGTTCCAGTGCTTAGGATCCGGATCCGGATCCGTATCCGGATCCGTTGGATCTGCAAGATTTTGGCTTCCTGGATCCAAATCCGCAAAAATATGCGGATCCACTGATCCGAATCCAAGGGGTAAAATATCAACCAAAAACTGCAAAAAAAAAACTTTTTTACTCCAAAACCCCAAATCTGATCTTTTGAAAAAGAGAGATTATAAAAATGTCCTCATTTCTGAATGGTTCATCAAGTTTTAGGATAAAAATAAGCGAAAAAAATAAAACCAAAAATTTGAGAAAAAAAAATTTGTTAAAAAAATTAAATTAAAAAAATCCGCATAAAAATTGAATGGATCCTAAGCACTGGTTGGTTATTCACAAAAGTGAAGTGCTCATTTCTATTGCAGCTTTTAAACCTAGAAAAACAACAATATCTTGCAGATATTGATCAGATAAAGTTTTGAAGTGTACCGTAGTAAATCGGGCATTGCCATTTTTGCATGGAGGTTACTTGAAATTACGCTTACAGTCCCTTTAATCTGTTAAATGTTTAGATAGATCAACTACGTCACGATTATTATGTTGGCGGGACCGGGAACAAACTCACAGAAATATTGCTAGAAAGAAAGCTTCCTTCTCAGGTACAACATTTTTTTTTAAATTTGGCTGTTTCATACTTTAAAACGGCAAAACGGCTGAACCAATCAGGTCGGGTAAAATTATGTTCGGATTTATATTTAGATCCATAATTTGTTTTTAACTGATCTCATTTTTCATTCAGGCATTTTTGGAGGATGCATACTCCAGTATGCTGGAACTGCATTGTATTGAGAGTGAAAAGGAAGCTGAGAAAATGGATACAGATTATTTGTCAAGGAAATCAATCAATCAACCAACTGCTTTCTTTAAGATTAATTCAGAAATTCGGCATTTGAATCCTAGTGGCAAAATATCAATCAAGACCGCCAAAAGAAACTTTTGCTCTCAAAACAATTATCAGTTTCTACACTCAGGGGCGTACAAGGGAGGGGCACTGGGTGCACCCCCCCCCCTTGGGGCACGCATGATATGATTTTATATTGGGATCTGAAAAAAAAATTAATTTTAGAGGAAGTTTTTTTCACCTTTTTACTATTTTTTACACAACAATTTTGCACGTAAAACCCTGNGATGTGAGATGATGTGGAGAGGGGAGTGTGTGGTACTAGGTATATTGTTCTGTATAGGTTAGGATGTGAGATATGTGAGATGATGTGGAGAGGGGAGTGTGTGGTGTGGTACTAGGTATAGTGTTCTGTATAGGTTAGGATGTGAGATATGTGAAATGATTTGGAGTCTGTGGTGTGGTACTAAGTATATTGTTCTGTTTAGGTCAGGATGTGAGATATGTGAGATGATGTGGAGTGTGTGGTGTGGTACTAGGTATATTGTTCTGAATAGGTTAGGATGTGAGATGATGTGGAGAGGGGAGTGTGTGGTACTAGGTATATTGTTCTGTATAGGTTAGGACGTGAGATATGTGAGATGATGTGGAGAGGGGAGTGTGTGGTACTAGTGGAAGATGAGGGACGAGGGACAAGTATACTGATGGCATCTATAGGTGATTTTTTGATCATTATTTAGAAGATTTTATGGGGTCTTAAACATGTCTCTAAAAGATCTAAATTGGAAATTCATGAAGGAGTTTTATTTTGAATCGAATTTAATTACTGCTTTACCCCTCACATAGTCTTATGAACCAACAGAAGGTCAGAAAATAAGGAAGTTGTTGAATAACCATACTTTGTTAAACCATTTCTCATTCACTCAAAAATATTCCATCTCGGTACCATTTTTTAATTTTATCCTAGTTTTATGATTGATTCAACATTAAAAAATTTTAAGCGGATCTGAATCTGCTAAAAAAAATGATTTAAAACACTTGAGGATGTTTTTTTTGTCTCCGTTATTTTTCTCAAGAATATATGATTAAAATAGAAATTATCGTTTAATTTATAATAATGATTTGGCTCATTTCAATTTTAAACTCTGGAGATATTCAGAAGCGCCATCTTTCATGAAGACACGAAAATAATTGTATTATTATTTGCCATGATTTTGATAAAGACAATGAGAGATTACCTAAAGTGGTGGTGGGTGGCTATTTTTTGAAAATGTTAATTGAGATTTTGTTTTACAGTTGAGATCCTACTGGAGGAGGAGCATAGAACGCGGCAAGGTTTTGAGATCCTGGTTCAACAGAATTGGGTTTCCCTGGGTTTCCCCTTTTCCACAAACCATCAACTGTGTTCTCCCAGAGCTCAGGTAGAAGGAGCAATATTTTTTTTATCTGTTTAAATATTTGGTTTGCCCTAAATTCTTGCTTTTATTATACAAAATGACCATATTTTCATGTTTCTGGACTCAGTCCTTCCAATTTAGAATAGTATTGTACCGGTACCCAAATTCTCTATATTTCTGAACTCTGCGCCTGTTTTAGAATAGCTATATACCCATATTCTCGATGTTTTCGAACTCTGCTCTTGTTTTAGAAAAGTATTGTACATATATTCTTGATGTTTCCGGACTAGTACTTCCATTTTAGAATAGTATTGCGTCGGTACCCATATGCTCGATTAACTTTCGATTTCAATTTTGATTTATATCAAACTTTTAAACAGCATGGATAGACATAAACATGGAAACAAAGAAAAGCTGTCAATTAGAAAAGCCTTTCTTTAATTATTTGTAAACTTGTAATTTTAAAAAAAGATTGTCAACAATTAATACTTAAATAAAAATGTTGTCTTCATTTTATTGATATAATCGCCTACCACCGTAGTTGATTAGTCGTCGCTAGTTTCAACTTAATCTATCCTTAGAATTTCGAGAAATATTTGAACTAGGTATGGTCAGCTGAACTACTTCTACGGTCCAACTCGACCACTTTAAAGAAGTAGTTCAACTTTTCGTACCTACAAAACTACAATAATTCCGATATAAAAAAAATATTAAATAGTGAGGGTAAATTAATTACATCAAACTTAAATATTTAAAAATCTGATAATTTATTTAATTTTTGATTTGAAGAGTTCCGTCCTCAGTACATGGTTGATTTATGGGATACTGCTCTGGTTCCAATGTTTGATACATTTCTCTTTGATAGTAAGTATATTTTATTACATATCTTAGTAAGTATATTTTATTACATATCTTAGTAAGTATATTTTAATACATATCTTAGTAAGTATATTTTA